CGCGCCATTGCACTCCAGCCTGGGTAACAGGAGTGAAACTCCGTCTCAAAAAAAAAAAAAAACCCTGCTCAGGACTGTAAGTGAAGGCTTATTCCATGTGCTCCCTGGACATCACACAGCCCTCCACCATTGGCAATGAGAGCTTGGACAGTGGCTGACTTTATCCAAGTCTTAGACAGGCGTCAGCTGTAAAATGAGGATAACAGATATATCTGCCTCTCAAGACTGTAAAAGTGATATGAGATTGTGTACATAAAGTGTTTACTTTTATTGTTAAGATGGAGTCTAGCTCTGTCGCCCAGGCTGGAGCGCAATGGCATGATCTCGGCTCACTGCAATCTCTGCCTCCCAGGTTCAGAAGATTCTCCTGCCTCAGCCTCCCGAGTAGCTGGGATTACAGGCACATGCCACCACACCTGGCCAATTTTTGTATTTTTAGTAGAGACGGGGTTTCACCGTGTTGGCCAGGCTGGTCTCGAACTCCTGGGCCCAAGAGATACGCCCGCCTCAGCCTCCCAAAGTGCTGGGATTACAGGCAGGAGCCATGGCACCCAGCCCATAAAGTGTTTAGAGTGGCCAGCACATTGCAAACACAAAATGCATGAAAAACTAACAGCGGACTGAAACGCCTTCTGCACTGCAGCAGGCGTCATGGCCGTAAGCTGTGCAGCAGCAGGAAGGATCTGGCAGAGACAGGGGTTTCCCCAGCAGCGTGGCACAGCCACTTAGGAGACAAGGAGAGCTAAGGCAGATCAGGTTCTGTGAGAAGGCGCATCAACAACTTAGCAGAGCAGCCTGGGGTTACCTACCCCCAAAGATGTCCTACATGAAGGCAGTGACCTCCTAAGCAAAGGCAAGGGGAGGAGGTGCCCAGGTACCAGAGACTCTCAGGGCAGCATTTGGTGGGAGGAGGGCAAACACTATCAAAGAAGAGGATTCATCAGGTGCGGTGGCTCATGCCTGTAATCCCAGCACTTTGGGAGGCTGAGATGGGCGGATCATGAGGTCAGGAGTTCAAGTCCAGGCTGGCCTATTGGTGAAACCCTGTCTCCTAAAAAAATACAAAAATTAGCTGAGCATGGCGGGACGTGCCTGTAGTCCCAGGTACTCAGGAAGTTGAGGCAGAAGAATCACTTGAACCTGGAAGGTGGAGGTTGCAGTAAGCCAAGATCGCCCCACTGCACTCCATCCTGGGTGACAGAGCAAGACTCCATCTCAAAAAAAAAAAAAAGAAAAGGATTAGAAAGAACAGTGGACTAAACTGCAACCCCCTCTAATGTGTCCTTTTAAATAACAAGGATAGCGGGAGGCATCACACTACCGGACTTCAAACTATACTACAAGGCTACAGTAATCAAAACAGCATGGTACTGGTACCAAAACAGAGATATAGACCAATGGAACAGAACAGAGATCTCAGAGGCAACACAACATATCTACAACCATCTGATCTTTGACAAACCTGACAAAAACAAGCAATGGGGAAAGGATTCCCTGTTCAATAAATGGTGTTGGGAAAGCTGGCTAGCCATGTGCAGAAAGCAGAAACTGGACCCCTTCCTGACACCTTACACTAAAATTAATTCCAGATGGATTAAAGACTTAAACATAAGACCTAACACCATAAAAACCCTAGAAGAAAATCTAGGCAAAACCATTCAGGACATAGGTGTAGGCAAGGACCTCATGACCAAAACACCAAAAGCATTGACAACAAAAGCCAAAATAGACAAATGGGACCTAATCAAACTCCACAGCTTCTGCACAGCAAAAGAAACAGTCATTAAAGTGAATCGGCAACCAACAGAATGGGAAAAAATTTTTGCAGTTTACCCATCTGACGAAGGGCTGATATCCAGAATTTACAAAGAACTAAAACAGATTTACAAGAAAAAAACAAACAAGCCCATTCAAAAGTGGGCAAAGGATATGAACAGACACTTTACAAAAGAAGACATACATGAGGCCAACAAACATATGAAAAAATGCTCATCATCACTGGTCATCAGAGAAATGCAAATCAAAACAACATTGAGATACCATCTCACGCCAGTTAGAATGGCGGTCATTAAAAAATCTGGAGACAACAGATGCTGGAGAGGATGTCGAGAAATAGGAACACTTTTGCACTGTTGGTGGGAGTGTAAATTAGTTCAACCATTGTGGAAGACAGTGTGGCGATTCCTCAAGGACCTAGACATAGAAATTCCATTTGACCCAGCAATCCCATTACTGGGTATATATCCAAAGGATTACAAATCATTCTACTATAAGGACACGTGCACACGAATGTTCACTGCAGCACTGTTTACAATAGCAAAGACCTGGAACCAACCCAAATGCCCATCGATGATAGACTGGACAGGGAAAATGTGGCACATATACACCATGGAATATTATGCAGCCATCAGAAACGATGAGTTTGGGTCCTTTGTAGGGACATGGATGAACCTGGAAACCATCATTCTCAGCAAACTGACAGAAGAGCAGAAGATCAAACACCGCATGTTCTCACTCATAGGCAGGTGTTGAACAATGAGAACACATGGACACAGGGAGGGGAGCACTACACGCTGGGGTCAGTTGGGGGGAAATAGGGGAGGGACGGTGGGGGGTGGGGAGCTGGGGAGAGATAGCAAGGGGAGAAATGCCAGATATAGGTGATAGGGAGGAAGGCGGAAAATCACACTGCCACATGTGTACCTATGCAACAATCTTGCATGTTCTTCACATGTACCCCAAAACCTAAAATGCAATAAAATAAATAAATGGGGAAAAAAAATAACAAGGATAACAGCAACTGAAAATGCAGTGTTCAGGTGCCTCAAACAAGCCCCCAAAATGCCCCCAAAAGCCATTAATGACCAGAACCCAATAAAGTTCCAAATAACCAATCCAGGAAGTACACAGCCCCCACAAAAGCCCCACCAGAGGTGAAGGCTGCATGTGCAGTGGACTTCTGTTTCCGAACAGAACCACTGGCATCTGCCAAGGCCACGCCAGCCCCATCCGCCCCCAATCCCATGCCACGCTCATGCTCACACGGAACAGGAGGTCACCAGCGGCTCAGCCTGGAATTTCCAGACTTCTGTTTTCTAAAACTTCAAGCAGCGGTTAAAAATTACCAAAGTTTAGCCTGGGTAACATGGTGAAACCCTGTCTCTATGAAAAATGCAAAAATTAGCCAGGCACAGTGGCACATGCCTGTAGTCCCAGCTACTTGGGGGGCTGAGGTGGGAGGATTGCTTGAACTGGGGAGGCAGAGGTTGCAATGAGCCAAGATCCCACCACTGCACTCCAGCCTGGGCAACAGAGTGAGACCCTGTCTCCAAAAAGAAAAAAAAAAAATTACCATAGTTAATGTTGGCAACAAATCCGAAAGGTTTGTTTTAAAAAGTTTTTCACCCCAATCCTAACCAGGAGACCACTGCGGCAGGCAGAGACCCTCACTCTGACCTTTAGACCAAGACAACTCACGCTCCACAGTCCAAATTACAACAAACACAAGACTTCACCTTTACTTGTTAGCAACTCTGAACTTTTATTTTAAATGTGTTCAAGAGTTCACCAAAATGTTAACAAAAGGATTGATGATTCTTTGGCAAACTGCTTTTTAAACAATTTTTATGTAGGGTCAGGTGCTGTGGCTCATGCCTGTAATCACAGCACTTTGGGAGGCCGAGGTGGGTAGATCACCTGAAGTCAGGAGTTCAAGACCAGCCTGGCCAACATGGTGAAAACCTGTCTGTACTAAATATACAAAAATTAGCCAGGTGAGGTGGTGCACACCTGTAATCCCAGCTACTCGGGAGGCTGAGACAGGAGAATCACTTGAACACGGGAGGCTGAGGTTGCAGTGAGCCAAGATCATGCCACTGAACTCCAACCTAGATGGTAGAGCAAGACTCTGTCTCAAAAAAAAAAAAAAAAAATTATGTAAACGTATTATTCAGAGAGGCAGCATAGAAGGACAGAACTCAACCTAGAGTCTGTTCAAATTCCAGGTCCTCTTCTGTGCAACCTGGGATAGGTTACCCAGCCTCTCTGAGATTTGAGTAACTTAATTACTTAAGTTTATCCATAAGTAAACTGCTAACAGTACACATATTATTGGATTGCACAGGGGAATATGTAGTAACATGGTGCAATACAAAGCATTGAGTAAAATGAGCTAAAACTCTAAGTCTCTCCCCAGCCCCTAAACCCTAATCACAACCTCCCCCCATAACATCACAACAGAAACCATAATAAGGGATCTTTATCCCTAGACTCTCAGCTCTATGAGAACAGGGAACTTGCCAGTCTCATCTACCAAATCCAAGTTCAGGCCAGGGCCCAGCACAGAGTAGACACCTAATAACTACCTGCTGAATAAATAAATGAATGACAGCAACCCTTGGCAAAGAACTCTTAGTCTGCATTTCCTTACCTATAAGACAGAGTTAGTTCTTACCCCATAGAACCACTGTGAATACTAAATGAGCTAACTTGGCTGGGCATGGTGGCTCAGACCTGTAATCCCAGCACAGTGGGAGGCGATCTGGAGACAGGAGGATTGCTTGAGCCTGGAAGTTCAAGACCAGCATGAGCAACATGGCAAAACCCCATCTCTACTAAAAATACAAAAAATTAGCCAGGCATAGTGGTACACACCTGTAGTCCCAGCTACTCGCGAAGCTCGGGGGGAGAATCACCTGAGCCTGAAAAGTCAAGGCTGCAGTGACCTGTGATTGCACCACTGCACTCCAGCCTGGGCGACGAGAGTGAGATCCTGTCTCAAAAGAAATAAATGAGCTAATGTATGGAACCGTGCTCAGCCCAGGGCCTCAACCCAGGTGCTCCATAAGGTAGCAATTCACACCTTACAAGACACAGATGAGATCACAAACAGAAGAAAACTCTGGTATGGTTGCAACAACTGGCTGAACATGATCAGGAGGTATTTTCATTTTGACCTCCATTCACGGGAACACATGTAGAACCAAACTCCTTCAGTACTGGGTGGCCAGGCCCTCACCCCTCCAGCAGGCAGCAGGGCAGGGCTGTAGCCTGCAGACGTCAAACTATGAGGCCAAACAACCGGGCCACAACCACCTACCCTGACCCAAAAAGGGTTTGGGAAGCTTGCTCCACACTCGCCACAGCAGAGCTTCTCTACTCGAATACTGTACCAGCTCCCTTCCACCCGTCACTGCCCAGATACCATGAGGGGCTCAAAACCACAGGTGAGCAGAGAAAAGGGAGGTGGAGAGAAGGGGAGAAAACCAAACTCTCAAAAGACAAACCCCTGGTCGGGTGCGGCGGCTCACACCTGTAATCCCAGCACTTTGGGAGGCTGGGGCAGGTGGATC